ATAAGGGGGGTGGGGAGAGGCCGGGCCGGGGGAGGGGCAGGAAAAACGGCTATAAGGGCCACGTCCCAAGCAGACGGGAACCAGGCAGGCCATGGCGGATATCCCCGGGGCGCAGCGACCGCTTCCCGGCGGCCCAGAGCCCCGGGACCCCCTGGACTGTTGGGCCTGCGCTGTGCTGGTCACCGCCCAGAATCTGTTGGTGGCTGCGTTCAATCTTCTCTTGCTGGCGCTGGTGCTGGGGACCATCCTGCTACCCGCTGTCACCATGCTAGGCTTCGGCTTCCTCTGTCACTCCCAGGTGAGCGTGCGCCCTGGGTTGTACATGTGAGTGCGGGTGTATGTGGTGATAGTGGTGGTGAGGTCTATGGGCCACAACTTCTCCCCGCCGGGGCTGTTCGGCTTGGGCCTGACACCTCTTCTCCCACAGTTCCTGCGCTCCCAGGCACCCCCTTGTACAGCGCACCTGCGGGACCCGGGCTTCACGGCCCTGCTGGTCACTGGATTCCTGCTCCTCGTACCGCTGCTCGTGCTTGCCCTGGCCAGCTACCGCCGCCTCTGCCTGCGCCTCCGCCTGGCTGACTGCCTTGTGCCCTACAGCCGAGCTCTCTATCGGCGCCGGCGCAGCCCGCAGCCGCGGCAAATCCGGGCCTCACCAGGGTCCCAGGCCGTTCCCACATCTGGAAAGGTCTGGGTTTGAGGACCCTCGAGTCAAGAATACTGACGACTACCCTCCCTTTCAGTTGGCCCAAGGACTTGAAGCCTGAGGGGTCTCTCGACCTATCCTGCCCCCACCCCTGCCTTGGCTGGGTCCTAGAATCCCTTTGGCAAGCAGCATCTGTGGACCCAATGTTGGTGAAAATTTGCCACACTCTGGAAAACCCTTTCCTCTCACTACCCATATCTGAATCCTGAACATTTGGGCTGGACCCTGCACACACAAGCCCCTCTCCCCACCCCCACCTCGTGAACAGGACAACTAAACCTCGCTGGTGCCCTGCAGGTGCCCTCCCTTTCCAGTGCAGCTCCTCTAGTATTTACCGGCTGGTGGGTGAGTTTGGAGGGGAAGGAATGATCACACATCAATAAAGAATTAATGAACTGAACGTGCTCTTGGGATCTGGTGAACAGGGGGGTGGCACAAAGCCTATCACTCCTGCTCTGTGCCCAGGAGCAGGAAACAACAGGGGACTGGGTGTGTGGCTAAGTGTGCAGACAGGAGCATCCTTCAGCCTCCTGGCCTTCCCTTATCGCATTTGCCTTTTCTTCCCATTAGCCTTTTCTTCCCGGCCAGACCCCAGAGCTCTGTCCCTGACCCCAAAGTCACCTCCCCATCAAGAGTGGAGGGGGTTTGGCCTTTGTCCCCTGCCCTGTGCCCCTTGGGGACCTGAGCCCGTTCTCTGACCCCAGCTTAGAGGAACTCAGTGTTGCCAGGCCGGAGAGGGAAACAATGGGCCTTCCGGAGCAGGATGACACCCCCTCCCGCCACAATTCTGGTGCAGCAGCGTGGGAGGGAGGATGGAGGGATCCACCCTGGGGCTTGTTAGTCAAAATCTCAGCCTGTTCCCCATCCCCACCCCCAACCTGAGGGAACTTTTGGCACCTCTGGACCTCCAGGTTGTGGAAGAAGGGAGGACTACTTCTGACTTCATATAAACCTCCCCTCTAGGGATGGGGTGTGTGATCCCTGCCCGAGCAACCCATCTACACACACACAGGCCACTTCGGTTACACGTTTAATTAAGTCTGAAAGGCGTGCGAGATAGTAGTCAGAGATAGGGAGGCCCCGCCAGGCTCTCTCTTTGCACCTCAATAGAAACGATGTGGTGTCCAGGTACCATGGCCAAGCCCAGCACACGGGGTTCCCCAGCAGAGAAGGAATCTGGAAAGAAGAGTCAGAGCATCAAGGAGGCTGGCCAGCGTCGGTCCCGCCCCATCTGAGCAAAGACTTCTAGCCCCAGAAAATAAGGGGTGCAGCCAGGCACTGAAGGGGAAAAGCCTTGCGTGAGGCTCTGCCGCATTCCCAGGGCACTGACCCGACGGCTTGAGGAACTCCTGCGCTGAGCCCAGGATAACATTGCAGTCGCGGTCGGTGCAGAGGAAGCAGCCGACCAGTGTCCGTCCATCTGTCATGCGAATGCGCATAGTCTTGTTGAGCAGCGCCTCCAGCTGCTGCCGGGCACGCGCAGCCGGCGAGTCCTCGCGCTCCCCGTCTGAGTCCTGCGCCGGGCGGGACACGCGCTCAGACCGCACCTCCCCAGCTGCTGCCAGCCCATGAAACCACAGCTCCCGACAACCCGCGGGGCGCTCACACGAATCCCAAAGGCTGCCGGGAGCCGCAGTTCCCCCTTCATCCCCCCATCCTGCTCCCGACTGCCCCTCAATCTCGGAACCCGAGGCCGCGCTAACCCCAGCGCTGGAGCTGCTTTGACGCCGACTGCAACAGCCATTCTCCTCTCGTAGCAGCATGGTCGGTCCAGCTCCGGCCATTTGCCCCGGGGCCGTCTCCAGGCCCTTCAACTTCTTAAGAACCTTTCGGATCCGGTGGTCTGAGATCTCGCGAGCGCTCCTGACCTTTTTCTTTCGCGAGATCACCTCTCTTCCTCTTTCTCCTTGGCAACTGTAGAGATCTCGCGGTCTTCTACTCAAGCTCCGTGGTTTACTTAGGCCTATTACACGAGATGTCTTAAGATATCGCGAGAAATTTTACCTCTCTAGGTTTTTAAATATCCTCTAAGAACCCTGGAATTTAGCAAGAATATCTTTTTTCATAATCGCAAAACTTCGGGAAAGTCTGTCCAAAATATCTGTTGTAGTCCAGACTACTCTGAATTAAAACTGTGTTCGCTTTCCCCCCCAGAACACCTAAGGACGCAACTCAATTACTTGACAAGGAGAATCAGACTACGTTTCCCATGAGTCCAAGCCCTTCTGTGCCCACATAGCTTTTGATCTCAGAGGACGGTGGCTGGAAAAGGACAATGGTTTCCATGTCAGCGGATAAACGCGCTCGCCTTAGCTCCTGGACAAGAGGGAGGAAGGAAGCTGTAGTGAATACGTGCTGAGCAGCGAAGAAGCCACTTAAAGGAGCCGGTGACTGACAGAGCACGAACCATGCGGCGCCGGGGCCTAGTGGCCGGGCCAGACTTTGAGTATTTTCAGCGTCGGTATTTCACGCCGGCTGAGGTGGCCCAACACAACCAGCCGGAAGATCTCTGGGTGTCTTATCTGGGATACGTGTACGACCTAACGCCGTTGGTACAGGAGTACAAGGGTAAGGGCCACGCTTTAGGCCAGCATCAGTGTGTGTGTTTGGAGTGCTTGGTTCTTGGGTGGCTAGCGTTGACGGCGGCTGCTCCTTCCCAGGAGACCTGCTGCTGAAACCCATCGTGGAAGTTGCGGGCCAGGACATCAGCCACTGGTTTGATCCAAAGACCAGAGACGTGAGTTCTGCAGGAACCTGGTGTTGGGGGAGGGGCACTGGAAAGCGGGGATGGGAGGAAAAGCAGGGGGCTAGCCAGAGCCCGAGATGGTGACTGTTCCCACCACTCCCCCACATCCCGCTTTAAAGATCCGCAAGCACATAGATCCGCTGACCGGTTGCCTGAGATACCGCACCCCCCGGGGCCGCTTTCTGCACATTCCGCCTCAGCTGCCTCGTTCCGACTGGGCCAATGATTTCGGGAGACCCTGGTGGCAGGGGTCGCATTACGAGGTGGGGCGGCTGTCCGCCAAGACCCGGAACATCCGTATCATTAACACGCTCACATCGCAGGAGCACACATTGGAGGTGAGAACTGGTGCCTGGGGGCAGGTTAGAGAGAACTGGGAATCCCAGCAAGTCTCCAAGTCTATGTTTAGGCCATCAGCTCTCCAAAACCGGTGGGAGCTGCATTTCCTACCCTTTTAGGGGCAACCGAGAAAGCAGACCACCTAAATCTCCATGGTTAGGAATTCGAGGAGTGGCTGAGTCACAGGGTACAAGAAACTTCTTCACAACCCCAGTTCATGCATCTTGGTGCTGGTGGTTCTTGTAAGCTCTTACATGCTATTGTTCTGTATAGCAATGGCAAATGGACTCTTAATAGGCTACAACGTTGTAGGATGAGGTTATGGGGTGGTGACCTTGACCTTTTAAGGCCATCTATTAGTAATGGCTGCCATAAAGACAGGTAGGACTTTGGAGCCATTCATTGCATGCTGGAGCTCCAACTTCATTTCTTGGACTGTAGAGTGCCTGAAGCTGTTATCCGCCAAGAGAGGCACTCTGATCCCAGCCATATCATCTTTTCGGTTCCAGGCCTTTGCTTGGAGAGAGAGAGGGAGGGAGGATGGGAGGGAGAGGGAGAGAGGTGTGTGTTCCACCCAGAATTTTGGGGGTGAGGTGCTTTCATCTTCTCCAGGTGGGGGCTCTGGAATCAATGTGGGAAATCCTACACCGCTATCTCCCCTATAATGCACATGCTGCCAGCTACACATGGAAATATGAAGGGAAGAACCTGAACATGGACTATACCCTGGAAGAGAATGGGATCCGGTATGAGGAGGAAGAATTTGACTATCTCAATATGGATGGCACACTCCACATACCTGCAATATTGCTATACTTCAATGATGACCTCACAGAGTTATAGGAAAGAAGATATATGCTCATGTAGACCAAGACTTATTTTGAGTTTGGCTGTTTCTGTGCCCTGTAGGAAAAAAGGTAGGGAAGAGGATGGAGAGGCTGTCTGGACCTACCATCTCCATTCCACTTTGGGGACTGGTGTGTGCTTACCATGCCCTTCTGAAGTGTAAAGGTCTTATTCCCCAGGTCCGTTATAATTTACTCTAAGAAAGTTAGGGAGAATGCTAGAAGTTAATCAAATTTTTAAAATGATACAAGAAGACGAAGTATCTTGGATTAGGGAGATATAGAAGAGGATAAATAGAGCTCAGGCAGAACTTTTTGATAAGAGAAAGAGAAGTCTTACACAAGGATGAGGGTTGGGAGAACTTTGGCAATGATGGAAATGGGATGGCTGCAGGAAGATGGTGTTTACAAAGACAAGAATAGGAAATGTCTATCACTGGCCAGACAAAACTGGTTTATCTCCCTTCTGGATAGTATTTGGCAGCTAAAATCCAAAGAGAAGAAAGGAAGTGAATGGGTACCAGGAAATTCAGGCTAGGCATTATGCTATGTGCTTATACACCCTGTTTAATATAACTACCCTATGAGATGGATGCCATTACCACTATTTTACAGATAAAACTTTTGAAGCTTAGCAAGATTTAATAGCAAAAGACACACTTAGTAACCAGGATATAAACACAGTCTGCCCAATTCCAAAGTCCATGTTTTTTCATGGAAAGAGAATATTCCAATGTCCAAGGCTCACTGTGCAATAGGACTACTGTGCAGTCCGCCATTTTTTCTGCAGTTATTATCTTTGGAAGGGAGTTAGCAAAAGTCTGCAGTGGCAGAGGGAAGGCAGGGAAGGCTAAGTAATAGTTATTGAGGCTACTTCCTGGTTAGTCCCATAGCAAAATTTTTCTTCTGGTTTTCTTGAGGCAAAGAGGTGGGAATATACTGATTCCAGGAAAAAACCTGAGTAG